TACCTAGTTATATGTATCTTTAATTAAAGAATAAATCTGGGTGATCAAAAAATTTCGGGTTTTAAGTAAAATAATTTCGTCTTCTATGAAAAACTATTTCGACTTTTTTTTCTGAAATTGCAATTTCGGGATTTCAAAATAATTTTGTGTGCAAGTATAATTAAGATACTATCCTCTTTTACTATTACTGTTATTTTGTGTACACAAGAATTTTCTGATCATTTTTTTGCTCATAGTATTAATTTTCAAACCAAAAATACTATTACTACTTATATAAGCTCTAAAATATATATTCATAATAAAGAAAAAAAAGAAAATCAACAAATAAAAAAGAAACAACTAACTATTCAAACTTTAATTAATACATCTGAAGTAAAAAAAATATTATAAATAATTTAGTAGAAGTATTTGTAATGGTCGATATTCCATTAGAAAAAGTAGATAAGCTTCAAAAGTGGTTATGTGAAAATTATCGTGAAGAAGGTTTTATTTCAAAATCAGATACCTTGCGCTATGAATATTTATCAAAATTATTTGAAAATTATGTTAACTAATTTAAAGAATATTTTTGTGATAAATGAGTTTTAATTATCATAGACGAAATCACAGATAGTAAAGTGCAAAGTGTAGTTAATATTCTTTTTAGTTATAATGGTATAACTAAATTAATCCATGTTGATTATTTGGAAAGTATCAATAATTGTATAATTGAGTAACTTATAATTCAAATTCTAGTTCAGTAGGTAATTCCTTTTGATTTATCATTATTAATTATATCAGATTCAGCAGCTTATATAAAAAAATATTATTGGGATGTATTAAAATCCATAATACCTCAATTGATTCATTTGCCATGTTTAGTACATATATTAAATCTTATTGAGTTAATAATTTATTTTTTATTTTTTTATTTAGAATTTTATACTAAATAATTTATTCATATATTTTTAGGGAAGTATAGATATCAATTAATTATTTTCAAATTGTACATTAATTACTTACAGAAATTAAACAAACTTTTATTTTTTGTAAAAGTCAAAGAGTACGTTACATATCATATCTTTATCGTTATAGAATATCTAATTCAAAAAATATACTTCTATCTAATGCAATAAAATGGAATACCTGGTTTCATATGGCATTTTATATATATCAACATTTGGATTATATTTGTGAATTTTATAATGAAGAGAGTAAAGAAAATTCAACATTAATAATTGAAAAATAAATTTAATTTTTACTGATTAGCAATTCAATAAAAATATTGAAATTTATTTGACATTTATTTAGAAAAATACATAATAATTTGTGATTGATTTTGATTTTTTTTAACAAGAAACTAAACCAATATTCTTCTTTATTGAATAACGATTATAACAACTTGAAACACGAATAATTATAGAAAAAACTATAACTAATTTTGAATCAACTGTGAATTTAATATTGCAAAAATTGAACATCCTGTTAATATCATTCTGTTCAATATTTCAACAAGTATATCACGTAACTTATAAAAAACTTGAAAATTATGTATTATAGTATCCTGCATATTCTTTATTTAAAACTGTACAAATTTTTAATTTACAATTTTTAACTTTAACAACTGCTAATTGAGATATTTACTTTTATCAAATTATTAGAAAACTAGTTAATCCATTAATATGTTTTATTCAAGAATGGTCAATCTATATTAATATCAATTTAAATACTGTGGAATTTACTGATTTGAATGAATTTTGGGATAAGGTTTTATTACAACTTCCTTTTTTAGAAAAAATAGTATGTAATTATATTTGGTTACCAATTTTATCCTGTGCAGTTGAAAGAAATTTTTCTGTATATAACAAGATTCTAGATGATAATAGACAGAATTTAAGTAAAGAATCACTTAAATTTCTCACTATGATGTATTTTAACAATCAAAATAGTGATTAAGTTTTCTTATAAAAATTTTTAGCGGAATAAATTGGAATAATTGATGATACCGTGATAAAAATTTGTAATTTGATATCGGAATTTTTCCGTGTCCCTGGTTCACCCTAGGTGATACTGGGGTAAATATGTGGGAATTTAATTACATGTGATAATAGTTAAAATCTCACCAATCACATTCGTAATATTCAGTTTATATGATACGTATTATCAAAAAGGAAAACGAAAAATTTTTACATAAAAAAAACTCTAGTTGTCGATCTTGTCATAACCTAGCGCGCACGTTCTATCCAACACGATGGACCAATCTGACCAGCCATCCGAAATTCAAGGCTGTCCTGAAGAGTCACCTGAAGAAGCTCTCATGGCATCCTTTAGGGTTGCTGCTGAATCCGTTGCACAACTTTATAAAACCGCTTTAAACCAAACAAAACGTTATGACAGTGGTTATGAACAGTGTCTAAGAGATTTGATGGAATTTGTTGCGTCACACCCTAGTGTTCAAAGAAGCCAACAAACTGGAGGTGATGGTAGAGACGCGTTCATATCGGTTGAAGATTTGTGTAAATTTGCCCAATCCAAAACCGAGCAATTGAAATCTATATCTCGTCGCAATAGAGAATATATTATGAATGTTCGACAACAGCAGCAACAACAACAATATATTCAGTCGTCGCAATCATTTCAAACAGTAGATTCTAACACAGGGAATATTTTCGGAACCAATCACGATCAATTTAATTTTTCCCTTCAGTCTAATATCATGTATCATCCTAGCCAACACGAAATTGACAGTATTGATACGGGACAAGAGGGTGGTATTGGCATCTTGGCCGGAAATGATTCCTTGAAGAGACGATACGGAGGATCAACCGACATGAATTTTCTTGGACGTCCTTTAGAATATTCATTCTTTGAACCACCGACCAAGAAGGGAAGGTTGCGAAAGGATGAATGACCTTGGTTTGTCAGTAATTTTTTTTAGTTATTCTCCGTAACTCGATTTATGGTTAATGATGAATGGCCTCAATATTTTTCAGGCCTAATTTCATTGTAGGTATAAGATTTTAATTTGTGATCAAAATTAAAATTTTACTTTTATTTCATTTTATAAATCTAATATATATCTTATAATTTTTTAGATTTATGTTATTCGAAATCGGTTATCATATTGTTTGCTTACTGAATACAATATAATAATTATGTCACTTTACTATTTTGATATACATACTATAAGAAAATACAAATATTCCTTAATGTATCCAACAGATTTTTTTGCGATGATTATATAACAGACATAAGAATCATTAAATAAATTGGTGTAAAATAAAAATTCCTTTTTTAACAATGAATTCTAATGAATATATTGGGTGAGTTTCAGGAAACATATCGATACTTTGGATTTTTGATTTCTAATTGAACTATTAACTAAACTAATAAAGGACCAGAAACTTCTTATAGGTTACAGGTTACCGAAAATTTTGTAAATAACAATAATTCCCGGTAAATTAAAATCACATGTGCTTATTGACTCGGGTAAAAAAGATAAATTTCCTTATTTGTTAAGAATTTTTTCAGCTTTTTGACATTATATATTTTGTAGTTATTCTCTAATAATTTAATTGGTTTAATTTTGTTTTTTTTTTTTTTTTTTTTTTTTTTTTTTTTTTTTTTTTTTTTTTTTTTTTTTTTTTTTTTTTTTTTTTTT